TTCACTCCCCGCCGCCACCTCTTACCCATACACCTCCCCCCAGCCGCACTGTGCTTGTGGAGTGTAACCAATTAACATACCAAATCCCCCCCCCCCCCCCAAAAAAAAAGAAAAAAACTTGTTGTTAAATTTCATACTCCTAGTTTAAACAAATCAAAAAAAGATCATTGTCTTCTTTTGTTTGTTTTTTGAGAAGTGTGTTCTGGGTGCCTCCTATATGATATAAATTTATTGAATGCTGTTTTTATATTTGGTATGTTAATTGGTTACACTCCACAAGCACAGTGATGGAGCCAGAGTGTATTTTGGTGAAATCTAATTAAAACTTCTGCCATGCACATGCATTTAGAGACCTCTACAGTCTCTCTGACCTTTCGATGGCTCATAAACAACTCAACCTTTGTTTTTCAGGCAATGCACAAGCAACTTTTATTGCTGATGAGATTTCTCATTATCAGTATGAATATGCAGTTCAGAGACTGTTGGCAATTTGTAGACGGCTCAATTATAAGTAATCATTTAGATTAATCCAAACAGGAAACACGTGGACGAGAAAAGAAACAAACATCCTTTTATTACTTACGCTTGTTTTTGTAAACATCCAGTCTAATAGAGAGATAAGGGCAACAGTGATCTGTACTTATTGGATACAGTATTTGCTAATACTGATGGTTGAACAGCTGTTGCAATAAACAATAAATGAATTAATCTTACGATAAATGAAAATTATCGATCTCATTTATCGGCTTTATCGTTTCTTCGTGTCCCTCTCTTTCTACTGAAGACACTGGATGACAAAAGGCTCAACTCCGGTGCTCTTCCTTTAACCATCCAAAATCACGTTTTTGGATTGTTAATAATATTAATAATAAATAATTAAAGTGATATGTGTTGTCATCATTGTATGTTCCCATACAAAGATTGGCTCTCTGCATTTAACCTATCGCACCTGGGATACACCCAGGTGGGGCAGTGGCTAAGCGCCTGGGGAGCAATTTGGGATTGGGTGTCCTGCACAGAGACACCACGAGATGTGCAATGACCAGGGATCGAGCCCAGGACCTTCGGGTCCCGAGTCAGCTGCCCTGCCCCTACATCATCTTGTGCCCACCCCCCCAAAAAAGCAGCTAAGCTAACAGGCTTACCTCGGGAGGGGGAAAAAAAACCTCCCGTCTTGTCGAAGCTCCAAAATTCACGGTTGAAACCTGTGCCTTCGTCTAAAAAGTTTTTTCTCTGCAAAAAGAAGCTGAGAACTTGTTTAATGATTTTTAAAAATGTATTAAAAGCTTTGTGTGAAAAATGCTATGCTAAAGAACTCAAATCACACCGAGCTGCTCGCTCCCTCACTATCTGTCCTTCAGTTTTGTCTTATACTGCCATCCGGTGGTCAAAAAAGGGTACAACACCCCAAACAAATTCAACAACATTCTTAAATTTGACAGTAATTACTAATTATAGTCAAATTTTAAACAATATTATCATTTATCGCAATAATTTCTGAGACAATCGCCCAGCAAAATGTTATCATGACAGACCTATGAACAGCACCATAGTACACAGACAAGAGTTTTATTTCTTTACTTTGCACTAATTCACATCTGTTAGTGTAATAAAAAGAACATGGCTGCCATAATGAAATGCTATATTTCACCACTTTTCCCATTTATGTTCTTATAAGGTATACTATGTAACTTGTAACTAATTTAGTTTCATAAATTAATTGAAAAAAAAAAGTAGTTTAAACCTTTTTAGTTGTGCATGTTCTTGTTTTGATGGTTGTCGAATGTTTTCAGAGTAACCCAGGCAGTCCTTACAACCTGGCCTACAAGTACAACTTTCAATACGCCGTGATCTTTAACATCGTGCTGTGGCTGATGATCGCCCTGGCCCTCGCTGTCATCGTCATCTCTTACAACTTGTGGAACATGGACCCTGGATATGACAGCATCATCTACAGGATGACCAATCAGAAGATCAGGATGGACTAAGTCCTAACATCAGCACCCCTGCCGTCCCCGTTGGAACTCCATGAATGTTTGTGTTGTGGGTGTGGTCTTGTGTAGTGAAACAAAAGCGCTGGTTTGATGGGAGGAAAAGCACGATGCTGAGTCACCTTTTTGTTTACAGTGCTGACATTCAACATCAAGGTTTAATGGTGAACAAAATGATATCAGCATGACATTAGTGATCTTTAGCAATATTATCCTCTAGATTCAAACGCTGAACTTCCTCTCTTCAACTCGTCAGCTCACATCATTCCTTCCAGCTTTTAACTCCTCACTAACTTTATTTCCACTGGCGATTGCAACTGTATTTTTTGTTGTTGTAAAAAAGCAAATGTATTCTAATATTATGAAAGAATGTTTGTCTGGTTTGCGCTTGTTTCGTTATGTGAAAAAGTTTTAAGTTAAATTAAATCTATCTTTATATATAGAATATACAAATGGTTGAGTAACTGCTGTACTCTTATTGTGAAAAGATTGTGTCCAGGTTGTTTTTTGTTTTTGCTGTACTTCAAATGCAGATAAATACTTGTTGGATTACGTGAAGCTTGATTATAATGTTTTGTCATTAAGATTGAATAAAGTGTAAAGTAAGCTCTGTAAATTACGATGAATGATTAAAAATGATTTGTGGATCTACCTGATGTGCTCTCATTCTAACAGAATGTGCCTAACACAAACTTCTCCAGAGATTCTCCAGAGAAACTACTTTTACAAAGCTTCAATAATAGATTCATACAAAAAAAAGCATTGTAATTTAGTTTCTTAAATTAAAACCTGGAAAGTATGACACCTTTCATATACAAATAATTAGGCATTCACTGAGAAAATAATAGCACAGCGTAAAAAAAATAAAATAAACGCTGTTTAAATCGATATATTTAATGACTTTTTTTTTTTGCAAAGTCATCCTTAGATGACTTTCCTTATAACAACAATCTCTTTGCCTGTTACCATCTATTGTGTCACTCGTCGTGCCAACCTTTTAGCCAATCAGATTGTAGTTTACCGCTTAAGTCCCGCCTTCAATGTGTTTTGCCGCCTGGGATTGGTTAGTGTTTTTTTGCATGTCCGATATTTATATGATTCAGGAAGGCAGCCAGGAAGAAAGAAGAAGTAGCTTGAGAACTGCGACGGAAAAGATTACAAGAAAAACAGCGTGAAACACAACAAACCAATGGTGTGACTGATAATTAAAGGTAGGACTTGTCTTTTTCTGTCGTGTAATAATAAAATAATTATACGACCACGCTCGTCCTACGAGATAAACTCGTATTTAATTTCAAGCACCAAAAGCGCCAACCCATTACTCGGGACACACACATATATATATATATATATAAATCTGTTGTTCCTCCTAAATTCGACTATAAGTCTGATGAGAGAAATTTAAAGTGATAAATCTTGTCCGTTCAGTAGCTGCGCTCGTGACAACCTTCTCGAGAACAGGAAGTAGTTTCATCCAAATCAGAACTGTCAGTTTATTATAAACTTCATGTTTAGTTTGTATAAGTTAAAGTTCTCTGCTCATATTTATGCTTGAGATGCCATGTTTGTGTTTTCGCTGTTCATTTTAGAAGTGTGTAAAATCTAAGTTTGAATTTGATGTTGACTAAGAACAAGGATCAGCTGTTCAAGTTCACATGTTAGATCTGGTGTAGGGGAAATTAACAAGATCTAAATTAGGGAGACATTTATACCTGTTTAACAGTTAATACTTCAAATTTTATACATAGTTTTTCTGTAATGAAAGCAAAGTTCTTATGAAAATAAAGACAAATAACTATCCTACAGTTTTTTTATACTTAACAATCCTGTCATTTTTACACTAATGCACAGTTTATTTGACCTTTTTTGTGTTTTGCTTTAGCTTGCAGCTACGTGGTCAGGAAGATCCAGGCTGCTGCTTCTGGCGGAGAGCGAGAAGAAAAGCCTGTCCTGACACCATGTAGTTCAAAAGGTAAAGACAAGCACAACACATCTTGTTTTAAAGTTCTTCAATTTAAAATTTACAAGATTGTATCATACCTGTGTCGTAACTTTACATGTGTTTTTATCTTGTAGCTCTAAAAAAGGAGGAGAAAAGGTCGATGGGATCTTCCTCAACTGCTGCCCTGAACCCAGGACCTGAAGAAGGCATGGACGGAGCAGCAGCCTCGGGGATGACCTCCCAGCTCGATGTGCAGCCATGCGGATCCTGACGTTAAAGATCTGGCTAGATACTGGCACTGTAGTGAACTCAAGTGCAAAAATTGATTTGTTATTGATATTTAAAGTATAGAGAAAACAATTTGCAGTTTACTATACATAATCACGGAATTTAAATGGTTTTATTAAAAGTAAAACAATGCAAATAAACTAATTCCAACATTTTCCTGTATTAAAGTTGTATACAGTGACCAGTGTCTAGTCCAGGATGACCACCAAAATTTTTTAAATTTTTTTTGTCTTTCACAGCAAACTGACATTGCAGAAAACAAGTTGAATTAAAACTAAAGCAGTCGGTATGTTTCCTGTGAAAGACCTAATTTCATGTACTGCAGCGTTTGAAGGCCGACTTACCAACCTTTGTGCCCAGAGGCTAAGTTGGCCTGATGTTTCTGTTGTTACGTCAACTATAAAATTGTTTTTGTTAAGGTTTATACAATATGCCAAAAGGTAAACATTGTAATGGATTTTTGTATTTTAAAAAAATATTACGTAAGCAGTTATTTGTATATCACTTGGTTACATTTGTAAGAAATTTGAATTTCTCACTATGTTTGCATTGTTTAAACACAAATTTTAATTTGATCTGAATTTTATTTCCAAAAGAAATGTGCAAATAAAGCTCTTCAAAAGCATGCTCTTCTACAAAAAGATTGGTGTGAACCTTGCATCATTATGATAGTTTCACTGTAATAGCAGAAGCTGACATTACCACAAAGATGGTAACTAAAAAATAGCTTTGTAAAGGAGGCATTATTTGAAATGCCACATGTGGTTTGTGTGTACATTCTGCTCACCGAACACAAAATCTAATTTGAGGTTAAATTTTAAACGGTGCAAACGCAAGACTTAAGTCAGCTCTGCAGTACCATCATGGTGTTTGGATTAGATTCAACAAATGCATCTGGGTGGAGTTTGCATGTTCTCTGTGCATACCTGGGTTTTCTCTGGGTACTCCAGTTTCCTCCCATAGACCAAAAACATGCAGGCTAGGCTGATTGGTAACTAAATTGTCCCTAGGTGTGAGTGAGTGAATGGTTGTTTGTCTCGTTTGTGTCTGTGTCCCTGTGATGGACTGGAGACCTCTCCAGGGTGTACCCTGCCTCTTGCACAATGATAGCTTGTCATGGGCACCAGTGAGCCCCCGTGACCCAAAAAGGAAGAAACAAGTAAAAAATGAATGGATGATATCTTCTGATGCATGTTCAATAATCCAGTTAGAAAAATCTGACAAAGTTAAGTCAGGTCCTCTGGACGGATGCAAAAAGTACAAAAAAAAATAAAAAAATGTTGAAACGTTTCGTCTTTAATCCAAAAGACTTTGTTAGTCTGAGGAGCTGTAATAAGCTCAATCTTATAAATAGTACCTTCTCATAATGGATCAACCAGTTTGTTGTTGACATTCAAAACTAGCTGTTCACATGATACTACACACACATGTTGTTGACAGATGATCAACAAACTGGTTGATCCACTATGAGAAGGTGCTATTTATAAGACTGAGCTTATTACAGCTCCTCAGACTGATAAAGTCCTTTGGATGAAAGACGAAACGTTTCAACAATTTTTTACTTTTTGCATCTGTCCAGAGAACCAGACTTACAGTAACTTTCTTAGATTTTATGATGTACTTTTGAGACCCAACATTTGTTTTAATGGACATTAGTTAGAGGCATTTTGAGTACAGTTAGGTACAATAAATCTTTTCAAATCTTACTACAAAATCACAAAGAAATCCTATGCTTAATGTCTCTTTTTTAAATACCATTTTATTTTCACTTATTCTCAATTTGTGTGCATCCTTTATGATTGTCTGTTATTGTCTACTGTTGTCATCACTCTGTTAAAACCAGGTGCAAAGAGAATAACCTTCACATCAATATGAAGAGGACAAAGGAGATGATCGTGGACTTCAGAAGGAACAAACACACCTACACCCCCCTGAACATAAGAGGATCTGCAGTGGAAGTGGTCTCCAGCTACAAGTGGGTGTACACATGAATGACAACCTCAGCTGGAGCAACAACACTACCAGCCTGATCAAGAAAGCTCATCAGAGACTCTACTTCCTCAGGCAGCTGAGACAAGCTGGACTGGGAAGCTCAGTCCTCACCTCCTTCTATAGGTGTGCAGTGGAGAGCATCCTGTGTGGCATGGAGGCTGCACAGCTGCAGAAAGAAAAGCTTTGCAGAGAGTGGTGAAGGCTGCACAGAAGTCTGTTGGATTCAGCCTCCCCACCATCACAGCCATTTACGCCTCCAGATGCAGGAAGAGGGCCACCTGCATCATGAAGGACTCCACTCACCCAGCACACACACTTTTTGCCCCGCTCCCCTCAGGAAGGAGGTTGAAGAGCATTAAGTGTAGAACCACTAGACTGAGGAACAGCTTCTACCCTGAGGCTGTTAGACTCATGAATCTCTAACCAGAATAATCACTGTGGAAAAAAATCGCATCATGTTGCTGCTGATCTGTTTCATGTTGCTGCTGATCTGTTTCATGTTGAGGTGTTCATGCATGCTCATCTGCTCACACAGACTCATGCTCATGTTCGTGCTGCTGTTTGACGTAATGTTTTTATGTTATTAGTGCTTAGTGTATTTTTAGTTGATGTTTTTCTTAAATCTTATTACTGTTTTTCTTATACATTTTATTGTTGGATGGTACTGGGACCCTGTGTACATAATTTCGCTCCACCACATACAAGACTTAAATGTGTTAAGAGTACAGTTTTCTTTTAACTTGCCTGAAGAATAAGGTATAAATCTCAAACAATCTAGCTTTACAGAAACCCTAAGAATGTAATTACTCGTTTATTCACATTGAACCTGCTCAGGAACTAACGAACGATGCGTTTTGTTTTTCTCGGATTATTTTGTTGAATCAACATCCGCTTTCCACCGGAAGTTGCCGAGCAAAATAGAAGCGGCTAAGTGTAGACTGAGTCGCAGGTGGGAATCACGGTCTACCGTCTTTACTAGCAAGGTGCGTGCTCAAACTCTTCGTGTAAAAACTGTATTCCTAATTTTACAGATGCAGTGTAACCATATTAAAGGCGTCTCTGACCTCAGGTAAGTTTAATCACTGCTATAATTAGCATGGCGGAACTGATGTAGCATTACCGCTGTTAGCTTTTGTCGGCTAGTGTTAGCATAATTAGATTTTTTTATTTTGTGTTTGTCTGGACATTATCTGACAAGTATAATTTATTGTGGCTGTCAGGGTGTGCGTAGAACTTTAACACAGGTGTCTTGTTTTTATTATGAAGCGAGCGACACAGGCTTTCTGCTGTGAAACATCAGCTTCTCTGACAAAAGAAACATTACTAGTGTTACTGAATTTACTACTAAAACCACTTTACCCTACATGTTTCGTTTTTCATAAATTTACAGGCTTATCAAAAGCCAAATTTGTGGTCATTCTTTGAAAATAAATGCTGGTGTGGATTCTCAGTCATCCAGGACATTGTAAATAAAAAATGTCTTACCTGAGCCAGGCTAACAAAGACTCCAATGAATCTCTGAGAGGGGAGTGAGTTTAATGTGCACGTGAATCATGATGGAGTTCAAAACTCGTACAGAGATTGACTTGCTTAGTAGGACTTGACCACCAAAGAAGTGATAAATACACATCATATATTATACTCAGACATTTATCTGGTAAAAAAAAAAAAAAAAAAAAAATCAGGTTAATCCAAAGAGGTCAGTCAGTTATTACAGTACTGCATGAGTTGGCATTTTATCATCAGTTAATTTGTTACTTTAGGGAAGCAGAATTTGCATCAGCTTTCTTCTACAGACACACATGCCTTCTCGCGTCATTCTGAAGAGAAATTGTAAAGTTTTTATGTTTATGAGTTTAACAAAATCAAGAAAAAACCACCAACACGTTTTAGGTTAGGAGTTTGAGCAGGTGCCCGGGGAGAGGGTGGACTACAGAAACCACCTGAGCACCATTAATCTATGAGAAGGTGCCATTTATAAAACCAAGTTTGTTGCAGCTCCTCAGACTGAAAAAGTCTTTTTGCATAAAAGACGAATCGTTTCAACAAGAAGAAACCGCTCAGAAGACCTGACTTAACCTTATTAGATTTATCTACCTGGATTATTGAGTGTGCATCAGGAGGTTTTAGGTTAGGTTAAAACATTTTTTAACAGGAGTACTGACCACTTTTTAAAGCATAGATGTCAGTTGCCCTTTGCTCTATTAGGTCATCAAATTGAAAATAAAAATAATCTATATTTTCACCCACTTAAGACATGAGCCACACAGTTTAACCACACTGTATTTTTAATATAGTTATAATGATAATGAAAATGACTTGAGTTTTATTCTTGAGCTGAAAGTCAAGATTAGTATTTTACATGTTTGATCAAACCAGTTCATTCATTCAACCTTTATTTATACAGGTTAGTCCCATTGAGCCTCGGTGGACTCATTTCCAAGAGAGACCTGATTTTAACAAAGAATGATGACAACAATAGACAACAAAGATAACAATACACGATCATAAAATAAAGCATACAAATTGAAAAGAACAAATGAAAATGGTATTAAAAAACTAAACAAAAACAGCTAGGTTGTAAAGCGATGTAGAAAACTAAAAACAGGAACATGTCTGCGTTGGTTTTTGCCAGGAACTTAACAGATGTTTAAAGACACTTGGAGAGGTCAAGGTCAAGAGCTTCAGATCTTTTTGTAAGATATTCCAGGAAACAGGAGCGGAGTAGGAGAAGGCCCTTTTGCCTATTTCAGTCCTCACTGAGGGAACACTGCAGGTAATAACGTCCTGAGAGTGCACGCTGTAGCTGCACTCACGCAGAGACATGTAGGAGGAGATGAAGGCAGCAGACCAAGAAGTGATTTAAAGATGAAAATGTACCAGTGAGAGAGTCTGTGTGAATTTAATGATGACCAGTTAACCAGTGAATACAGAGTGCAGTGCTGGGTACGGTAGTTACAGCCAGTTATGAATCTTAGTGCACCATGATAGACAGCATCCAACATCTGCAGGGTTCTTGTAGGAGCGTTCATGTAAATAATATCAGCGTAATCAATGGAGGGAAGGAAAGTCACAGATACAAGGTGTTTCCTAGCATTCAGGGTTAGACAGGATCTGTTTCTGAAAAAGAAACCCCATTTAACTTTCAGTTTCCTTACCTAGTTCAGTCTGAATAAAAAGATAAATTGTTGTTATTTTTTAAAATATTTTGCTTTGTGTGTCACAGAAACAGTCTTGTTAACAATTTATTTATTATGTTTCTTTCAGTGTTCTTGCTGTGTCTCATGACAACGTCAACCATGATGGAGCAAAAAAAAGCCCTGACTCTTCCATTTACCGTTGACAAGGATCACATGGTATGTTTTATTGAACTAAATATTTTAAGCATTATAAAATGATATACTGTGGTTTAAGAATGTGTTGATCACTGGAATAGAGCTGTTTTATGAAGCAATATTAACAGATCATCTGGCTATGTGGTGCTGAAAGCAGGAATTTTTAGTTATCACAAAAAATAACTAAGACTCTGAACTTTATTTGAGTTTAGAATTTATTTAATTTGTCTCCGTCTGTTCATTGATTGATTTCCTGATGACTTCCCAGGAAGATGGCAGACATATTTATTCCTAATTGCTCACATTATCACCAATTTTAAAGCTTCAAGAAATAAGAGAAATGTGCTAAGAAACTTAAATACATGCACAACCGATTTTGAACACATACAGGATAAAGAGGAAAGTCTGACTTAACCAAAAACATTAGAATTGCTTTTGTGAAAGTTATTTTCTAGTAGAGATTTAGGTTTGTATCAGTTTATCTGCAGATAATTTATTTGATTAGGTTAGGTAATTTTAATGGCAGTAAATAGAATTGAGGAAAAAATAAAATAAATCTTTGTGTTCTAGCAACAGCTTGAAACCAGTAATGCATTTTATTCCATAAAGAGCTAATCAGGCAGAGTTAGTATTTCTGTTTGATAGCTGTCTTTAAAATCTGCTCCAGTCTTCTTAATGGTAGCACACATGACATTTATTGATTAGAAGGGTTTCAAGGGACATTAACTGCTACTTTTTAATCAGGTAATTAGATGAAGTAATATCTGCTTAGATGCAAGATTGCTCATCAACAGCGGTCACCAGAAACTTCTCAATTAAAAAATATCACCAGATATTTTGTGTAATTGCTCTTAATGTTGCTGCATTTTTGTGAAGTAGATAACATTTTTTTTTATGTTGGTTGTAAAACATTTAAAACCAGTTTATTAACTAATCGTTCTGTGTATTTTAGATGGAAAACCCACTTAAAATCCCAGTGAATTGCCTTTCATCGGAGTGTGGAAAGTTAGAAGGACAGGTACAGCAAATACTTGATCTGTTTGTCTTTATTTACTGTTTACAACACTCGGGTATATTCTTATAACTTATACCCTCCCCCTTTCTATTTTGAAAAGGTTTCCTGGACGACATTTGCAGGCTGCAAATACAAATCCCGTAATTCCCGTCATAAAAATGGATCCACGAGGTTTGACCATAGCCATGCAACTTTCATCACGCTGGAAATGACCAGGTAGGCAGGCAGGCACCAACAGAGATCAGGAATATACTTTTTACAGAACATTTCATTTTGAAGGCTGTCCCATACATGATTTATGAATCCACATATTCAGTTTTAATTCAAAGCAATTCTTTATTGAATCTTCATGGGAAGTTGAGCGAGATCAACTGAAATGTGATGGTTTTATGTGACACTGAAACACCTACTGAGCCTTTTGCCCATTAGTTAGAGTTAGTTTCTAATTAGTAATTTCAGCAAAATTGGATACTCGTGCTTGCTTCTATTTAACTGTCAAGGAGCACAGCAAACAGCAAAATCATTTCTGTGCGGAGCACATAGTACACATGTGTACATAATGTGCACATAATGTGTACATAATGTGTATATAATGTGTATATAAGCTCCAGCATCAACGTGTGGCATGGAGGCTGCACAGCCCATTGAGTTTCAGGGTGCAGCACGACCTTTGCTGTTTTCAGGCTGAAAGCCTTTTAAGCAACTCCATGCAGCTGAAACAGTTTATAGATTTAGGTCCTTCCCCAAAGCTTACACAAGATTATTTGCACAACTCGCAGTTTTTAATATTTTTATTCAAGTAGCTCATTAATTAAGCAGTTCTAGTACTTTGTGAGAAAATAGGGTATTCCAGTTATGCTTCTTTTTTCAGTCGTACCTTTTGTCTGCTGCTCAGTAAGAATTTTTCTTCTCCAAGTTGTTTCACTTGAAGGAAATACTCAGTCTAAGCCTTATGACTCGAATGTTGAGCTTATCATGACAATACATGCGGCTTATCTGCAGCACTCAGCCCCCCCATGTTTATCATTTGGTGTACACACTTGTCTTAAAACAAGCCACACTATTACAGAGAAAATGCAGCTCTAGGAAAGTTGTAAATAAACAGTTTTCTTTTTTATCCCTTAGGAAGAAGCCACTTCTCATCTTGACAGACGTCTTAAAGACAGAACATGGCAAGAATTATATAGAGAGAGTAAAAATGAGAGGTGGCGTTCACACCAGAGGACAGCTGACAAGCACACAAAAGGAAAGTGGCGATGACAGAGAGGAGCCTCGGACCTGCAGAAACAATCGGTCCTGTCAGAAGGAATTGAATAATAATGATAAAAGCAAATGTTTAACTCCTAAAAGCAACCAAAATACCACCCCCATCTCCCCTCAAAGGTAGGAAAACATTTTTTTTATAAATTTGAAGGCTTTAGGAATTGATATAAGATCAGTGTTCATCTTGGTGTGTAGCTTAGATCCTTGTATACTGTTTCTTTTTACACTTTATATTTTTGCTATTGTTGGGTGTAACTGGGACCCTGAGTACATCATTTCGTTCCACCTCATGTACCACATGTGGTGAAAATGACAATAAATAGACTTGAACTTGAAAATCTAGCAAAGACCTGAGAGATGCAGAGTTCATGCATCTACTGTGTCACATTTTCAGCTAACAACTCTATAAATTAATTTGTTCGCACTAAAATACTTTTTCAAGTATTAAACTATGTTATTTTTAATATATTTATAGATTCATCTAAAGAAATAGAACAATATTTGGTATGTGACAGGCTCCTAATTTAAAAAAAAAGTATTCAAAGAATTAAACATTTTTTCCCCAACATTTTATCTGTGGACAGTAGGAAAGCACAATATTGGATTTTTAGCCAATATGTTAAAATTTATTTGGCTGACAACCAATACCAATATTTTTTTCCCTAGACATTCTTACAGAGACTACACAGTTTTCTCTGCTGTGGAATTAAAATACTACATGATTCTGCATAGTCTTTGTCAGTTGGACCTGCTACCAAATGCAGATGCCAAAAAGCGTCTGAAAACGATGTAACACTTCAAATTGGATTATGTTTAATGTCAAATTTATTCATGACATTCACTCTCTCTAACACAATGACAACACTCGAACAGTGCAGATTTGTAAATGTTCACACATCTAAACTCAACCTGTTCACAAGTGACAAGTGAAAAGTACATAAGTAGTAGTGCTTTAATAGATATACTGTTGTTGTCATCATGTTGTCATCATGTTGTCATCATTCTTTGTTGAAATCAGGTCTCTCTTGTCAATGAGTCCTTGAGGCTCAATGGGATTAACTTGTCTAAATAAAGGTTGAATGATAAAAGAATACTGGACAGTTTCTTAAATTAAAAATAAACTTAAAACAGAAGCCTTTTATATCGGTGAGTTATTTAATTGGACTGGCCGATGTCCAATGTTTAACTTTATTGCTAATATCGTCCGATACAGATTCCATGTCTATTATCGACCCTAGTAAACACAATACTTGTTCATTTCTTGAGATCAGGAGCATTTTTGTGTCTGAATATTTCAATGGCTTGACAAAAAAAACTACACACAACATGCTTTGCAAATGGTCAGGTGCTGAACAGAAAATAAGAGAAAAAGCTTCAAAAAGCTGTTGATTAAGATCTCTTTAAAATGTTTCTTTTTTAAAGCTCGGCTCCTCGGAAGCAAAGTATACACAACAAAGGATTATTCCAGACCTTTCCACATGATTTATATGCTTGAAGCCAAATGTTACTTTATAGAGAACATTAACTTTTTTTAGTCTGAATTTAACCTCAGTAAAGTTCATTTAAGGGATTCAGTCCATATTTTTCCTTACATGTTTACTGGACCTGATAAAGTAAAAAGCTTTGACTTTTGTATTGTTAATAACTTGGAACTGAACCATTTATATAAAAAAATAATAGTTTTCTTTTGATCAAATGTGAACAAAAATAACCACAAAATATACTTTCAGTCACTCTAGCTTAAGCTGGAATTATCTCAGTTTTTATTAAACTTAAGGTGTGATATGAGCTCAAGGTTGTAGTTGAAATAGGTTTTAGTTCATGAGATGATCTTTGACATTTTTAAATCTTTAGAGCAAGAATCAAAAGAAGATCACAACAGTCGGAGGAGAGCAACAAAGAAGAAAACAAAGATATTAAAGAGGTGGTAACTGGCCAAGACAGTAAAGAAGAGGAGTCTGCTAAAGTTAGAGGTGAGTTTGGCTTTTGTTGTTTGTCGACGGATTTTTAGAAAATTTTCTCTTCAATGAACTATTTATAAATCAATTTAAAAAAGCATCGCCCTAATTACTCATCTCCCTTGATTTTTTTCTATTTTTTATTAAAGTGTTTTTAATGCCACTTAGTATATTGTTTTTTCTTTTTTAACACAAGATTTACACATTCATTGATAATTATTGCCGGCTGCCCAAGGCAAAAGTGCAATATTGTTTTTGCGTGTGTGTGTGTGTGCTTTTGTGTGTTTGTTTCTCTGCTGTGCTAGAAAAACATCCCACGAATCACTTGATAGATTTTAGGTTAGGTTCAGAAAGTAACTATTAGATGTACATTCACAACTGAATGAATACTTTTTAGAGTCAACGCCATTCATTATGGCCGCCACTAGAGGTGCACAGATTCAATACCAATATCTGTATCGGGCCCGATATTGGGAAAACGTTTGGATCGGGTATCGTTGACAATGTGACCAATCCATGACTGGGCAGATCTGTTCACTCTAATTCTAATGCTTTGTGCTCTGAGTGACGTCACGTGCTAGCGAACTCACCGCACAGATTATTTTCAAAATGGAGCGAGCGAAAGGATCAGCCATCTGGAACTATTTCACACTACCTCAGCCAACACATTCGACAGCTACGTGCAATACGTGCACAGCAACAGTTCCAGGGGGTGTCACTAAAACTTCCAGTTATAACACTACCAACTTAATCAAGCATCTCCAGAGATAATAATAATAATAATTTTATTTAAAAAGCGCCTTTCAGGACACCCAAGGACACTTTACAGTAAGAAACATATCAGAAAGATTGTGTTAAAACAAACAACAAGCACTGTGCAAAGATCAACAGGAATAAACTGAAATATAAAATACATACAGAATATAAAATACATACAGAATATAAAATACATACAGCAAAATTAAGGATAAGTGAGTCTAAAGAGATGTGTTTTCAGAGCAGTCTTGAATATAGAAAGAGACGTGGTGTTTCTTAAGTCAGGGGGTAGAGAGTTTCAGAGATGAGGGGCAGAGCAGGTGAAGGCCCTGCTCCCCATGGAGGAGAGGCGGGCAGAGGGTACATGGAGGTGTAGTGAAGAGGAGGATCTGAGAGAGCGAGAGGGGATGGAGATATGTAGGAGGTCAGATAGGTACGGAGGGGCAAGGTTGTGGATAACTTTAAAAGTGAGAAGAAGAATTTTGAAGACGACACGTGATTTAACCGGGAGCCAGTGGAGCTGCTGCAGGACTGGAGTGATGTGGTTATAAGAGGAGGTTTGAGTGATGACACGGGCAGCTGAGTTCTGGACCAATTGTAGCTTCTGGAGAGATTTGTTGGGGAGGCCATAAAGTAGGGAGTTGCAGTAGTCAATCCGAGAAGTCACAAGACTGTGAACAAGGATGGCTGTGGAGCGGGGTGTGAGAGAAGGGCGGAGACGGTTAATATTTCTGAGATGGAAATAGGCAGACCGAGTGACGTTGTTGATGTGTGAAGTGAAGGAGAGAGTGGTGTCGAGGATGACACCAAGACTCTTGACCTGAGGCGAGGGGGATAGCAGAGAGTTGTTAAGGGGGATGAGAAGAGATTTCACCCTAAAGAGCACGCTGAGTTTGTTGAACAGAATTCAGTATCGGAAGTGGAAAAAGTGGATCGATGCATCCCTAGCCGCCACTGCTATCGTACTTGCCGCCGTAAAGTCACACCGCCGTATAAGTAGCATCAGTCCAAATACGTGTAATAAAGTGGAAAAAAGCATAAGTATGTCGCTTAGCCGCATACGTCGCATCTATTATGTGTCACCGCTGATCCAGAAATATGGGCTGGTGTGCCAAAAATCGATTGGCTGCCAAATGGCGGTCACTAGACCGTGCACGGGAGGACTTTAACAAGAATTTAACAAGATTAACACTTAAAAACAATTATTTGTTTGCTCAAAATTATAGTAAAGGTGTGTCTCAGTCTAACTTTTCCTTAATAAATGCACTTTTGACGGTCAAATCAGCTGCATTTCAAAAGCCGATTTGCAGCTGTGGGAGCGTGCACGGGAGAACTCGCTGTGCATTTCTTCAAAATTTAACAAGATAACCACCTAAAAACAATGATGTGTTTGCTTGAATATCAAAGATGTATCTCGGGTGAATTAAATGCACTTTGATTGTCAAATCAGCTGCATTTCTTTTTTTTTTTTTTGTCAAAAAAGAAAAAAAAAATCAGCTGCATTTCGCCTGGGCGGCGCTGCTGATTTGACGTTTGCTCCAGGAGTTCCGGAGCAAGACAAAGGTGGCTCTTTGTATGGCAAGCCAAGTGTCTCATTAATAGCCACTTTTACCTATTAATGAGACGCTTGGTTTGCCATATAGTCAGGGGCCCTCAAGTGGCTGAAAATGATAGTGTTCAATATTTTCCATGTCAGAATGAATGAAATCTTCAGATCTCAGACAAAAATTGGTTATAAATATGGGAAAAACACATGAATATGTTGCTTTGCTGTATAAGTTGCAGGCATGCTAATTTATGCAAAAAAACTGCAACTTATACAGTGAAAATTACGTTAATCAACCTAGCAATCACAAAAAGCCTGTAATTCAGCCAGTTTGACAGATAATAATCTAGAATTTGTTGTTAATAGCTGAGAGTCATCCCCAATACATGCTCTGAGGGCTTGGTTTAAATGTTTGGCATGCAAGGCCGAGGACAATATGCATGCTTTCATTATTTTTATTGATTCCAAACAGATGGTGTAAACGCAAAGTCCACTGAAGACGCAACAAGCTGTGACGAGTTTGCCTCAGAGAGCATCAAGGACCAGTCGACAACTCCTGTAAAAGAAGCACCAACAAGTTCGGTGGGTACCAGTTTTAAAACCTAAAGTATGAAAGGCTGTTGGGCGTCAAATGGTCTCATTCTAGTTGACATGAGGATTGGAGCATATTATGTCAGTTTTATTCTGCATCCAAAACATTACTGTCTATATAAATGTTCTTTATTATTGAATTTAAACTTAATTACAAACTTATTCCGTATTATTTTCTAAAAGTAATAACATTTACTAAAACCGGCACATTTGTGTCTCGATTGAAGCGAAAAAGGAAGAACTCTGGCTCCCGCTGCAATGGAACAAGCAGCCCAAAATGTCTCCGTGAGAATGTGCTCCGCCTGTCGGGAGAAGATACAAAAGCTGGAGAACAGGTCCCTACACCTGCTAACCAGGAGGAACATGAAAAACATGTGGATCTGGAGAATGTCGACCACTGCATTGTACAGTTTACAGTTGGTGGAGATGACGGGACGGAAGACTGGGTTCCAGTCACACCCTGTAATTTGGAAGCTGAAGACATAATTAAAAACAATGAACAAAGTTTATCTTCCAGACATGAAAGTACATCTCAGACCAGTCCCACTGAACCCAGTAAGTACACCAACACACTGCTGATTATCTCCAGAATCTGTTAGCTTTATTATCCTCTTTTATTCATCGACAAAGTTACCACGTTCAGACGCGTGTATATAATTTGCAGCTTGTGTTAAAGCGTCACCTGATCCTTGTATATAATGACAGCAAGGTGCATCAGAAGACAAGCTTGTGTAGACAATGAAATTCTGCAAAGAAACCTTTGGTGTAGACATTCAGACAGATCACATTGACACCCACTAACATCTCTATTACAAGACATTTTCTGAAATTATATGCTGCCTGTGATTTATGGGCGTAACAGGGTTTCTCATCATATTTAGGCAGGTAGTTTTTGCCAGCTAGTGTCTTTGCTTCATTCTCAGTAGAGCTTTAAACTAGATATTTTCTATCAATAAGTACTATATTTAAAATATTGTGCAACTGACATGCAGTACATTTTAATGATTGTTCAGATTAGCTCTTTGTACCCCTGACCTGAGTTGATCTGATGAGAGTCTGAGCAGAGCAAAAACCAAAGTGGATAATGGTCATCCTAAAACAAGAAGTATTTCATAGCAAGTCTTAAATCACAATTTTATTTTATTTTTTTTACATCGCACTAAGTTTATCATTACACACATTTTCTGAGAGAAATATTAGGATATTCCTGCTGACAGCGCTACAGTTATTGCTGTTACTTGCATTTCCAAATAACCATTTAAATTATTTAATTAACTGCTGTGACTATAAGGCGCACTTGAAGTCCTTTAATTTTCTCAAAAACCGACAGTACTTATAATCTGGTGTGCCTTTTGAGCTTACTGACCTCAAACCGATTTTATGTGGTACATGGTGCTCAAAAATCTGCCAAAATGAACTTGTTTCACTAAAAACACCTTATGGATGAAAACAGCCCCGTTCATATTGCGCCTTATAATCCGGTGCGCCTTATAGTCCGAAAAATACAATATGTGATATGACAACAAAAAAAGGTTAAATCATGTCATCTGGACCAGTCCACATGATTTAACCTTTTTGTTGTTATCTACCTGGATGATTGAGCTTACAAACATTTTTTTTAAATGCAATACAACATTGGCAGCTGGTTTTAGTTTTGTTAATTAATTATAGATAATAATTAATTATGGTATAATAATTGGAATTGCTGTATAGTTAGTACGGTAATTGGATTATTTTGGTTTACTGGTACTTTAGTCCGTAAATATTACGTTAGCAGAACAATTAATAGTATTTTTTTTTTTTTTTACTCATAGATGGATAGATATAACATTTATGTTCTTTTAATATAATTTTAGATACATTTTTTTTTGTTTCTCAAACTTATGGTATTTGTTTGGTGCTTCTTAGATAATCGACCTTAAGTTGCTTCAGAGCTTTCTGTATTTTTAAAATCCAAGGTCCAGTAAGTTCATCTTTGTTCTTGTTTGGACCTAACTGACAGAAAAACAAAGTAATATATGATTAAAATAAATACCGGTATTCACTTTTTGAACTATTTTCTTTAATATTTGCATTTCAGTTGTTTTGTCCAGTGACGATGAGGAGGGTCGGGATAATCCTCAGTGCCAGAGTAAAGTGGTCCACGCCGCGTCTGACTCAGTGATACAAGGGAAGTCCTCACAGAAAGCTGTGTCTGAAGAAGAGGAGGATCCAGCCATACAGAACATGCAGGTTGGTACAAAGTATACTTCTTATTTCCTCAATCAATCTTAAACATGTTTTAATGAATACCATAATTTCTGGTGTATAAGCCGCTACTTTTTCACACGTTTTGGACACTGCGGCTTATACAGTACAATGCCGTGGCTAATTTATGTATTTAACAATAATAAAATTTACCGTAATCTATTTATTTATTTATGTAGGCATTTATTTTAATGGCCTAACAAGCGTCCTGCCGCCAAAAACATTTACCGGTAGCTTCGTCACATAATTTAAGGATTAAAAAACTTTTTTTTTTGTATTTTATTTTGACAGGCTAACAAGCTTCATGTCGTCAAAAATATTTTTACTTGGACACACTTGGGCGCTCTAAGACACACCCTTCTTGCGAGAGGGTCTTCGTGAGACAGACTGTTAACACCACAGCTATTCATGACAAGTACCAATCTCACTCATGGTTACAATATGCTACTGAATGGATTGACACATAATTAAAAAAAAAAACCACACTACATAGGCAATGATGAACAGACTAATCACTGAAAAGACAACAGTAAAACAGCTACTTTACCCATATGCCCACTCTGTGTCCATGTGACCGGAAGTCAATGGCAAATGACCAATAAATAGACCTGTCGCATTAACAAATTTTGCTGGGCGTTAATTGTCTCAGAAATTATTGTGCTGAACGATAATATTGTTTGAAATTTGACAATAATTAGTAATTATTGTCAAACTTAAGAAGAAATGTTTGTTGTTTTGCATGTAGTACCCTTTTTTGACCACCGGATGGCAGTATAAGACTGAACCGAAGGATGGATAGTGAGGGAGCAGCATGTCTCTTTAAGAAAAATGGGAGGGAGGCCTCTTGACGTGACATGGGCTGTCTCTCTTCTGTTCTCAAAATGGCGGACAGTCGGTGTGGTTTGAGCTTTTTAGCATAGCGTTTTTCACACATAGCTTTTAATAAGAAATTAGTAAACAAGTTTGCAGCTTCTTTTTGCAGAGAAAACTTTACACAAAGGCACGGGTTTCAACCATGAATTTTGGATCTTAGACAAGACAGAGGTTTTTTCCCCGAGGTCGGGCCTGTTAGCTTAGCTCGTAGCTTAGCTTCTCAGCTTTGCTGCTTTTAACGATCCAAAAACGCCATTTTGGACGGTTAAAATGGATTTTAAGGAGAAAGGGAGGAGTCAGTGAAGAGCACCGGAGTTGAGTTTTTTGTCATCCAGTGTCTTCAGTAGAAAGACAGAGACATGAAGAAACGATAAAGACGATAAATGAAAACGAGGTCGATAATTTTCTTTTATCATGCGATTAATTGATTTATTGTTCATCGCGACAGGCCTACCAGTAAAGTACCGTACTCTTATAGAGTAAAAAGGACATCCCCTCCACCCACCCAAGAGATTGATTGATTCATTGATCAGACTACCTATTTAAATAAAGTAAAAAAAAAAAATCTGAAAACAGGGAGGGGAGGGGGACTGGGTGAACACAGTAGACGGCAGGCGGGTTTCCACCGTGCAGATTCCTAATATGATATTTGAAGTTTTTATCATTTGAGACAGCCAAAATAAAACCTCATCTGTCTTAAAAAACACTTTAAGACAGTAACAATGTCTTTGTCACCTCCTGCCTGGATTACTGAAACACTTTATCTGGGGACAACAAAGTCCATGCTCAATAATCCAGGTATAAAATCCAACATTTTTCAGTCAGGTCATCTGGACAGTTTATCTGGGGGTTAGTGGCTCCTCCATCGCTCGACTGCAGAGGGTACAAAATGTTGCAGCGTGGCTTTTAACTGGCGCAGCTCCTCTGTTTTATACTCCACTGGCTGCATGTGCATTTTAGTATAGATTTTTAAAGATTTAGTTTTTAAATATCTGAATGGCCTGCCCCACCCTACCTTTGTAAACTGCTACATCCCTACAAACCAGTCTTCTGTCAGATCAGCTGACCAGCTGCACCTCAATGTCCCTAAAACCAGACTGAATCTCAGGGGATTGAGCTTTTGTTGCAGCAGCTCCTAAACTGTGGTACGAGCTGACCCTTCGGCCTCTTCAGTACTGCTTTTAAAGCTCTTCTAAAACCTACAGTTTCTTTGGCTTTTAACAATTTATAAAGAGTTGATTTTATTAAATTTAATCTGATTGAAATATAATAGTTTTTTAAAATTGGATTAGTTTGACCTGATTTGTTTGTCTTTATTAAGTGGTTTTAATTTACTTGTGTTGTAATTTACTTCACCCCAGGGTGCTGAGGTGACTGCTACTTGAATCAAACAAGCAAGAACACCTGGTGCATTTTGTCTTGAATCGCACCTGTTATGGAGGGAAGAGGTTAATAATATACATGGGAAAGTATCGAGTATACTAAATGGTTACTTCTTAAATAAATTAATTTAATTAGTATATTATGTTAAAAACACCATAAATAAATACTGATTCGGTGGAACTTTAGGAGCACCCATTTATTTTGAGTAGGTCTATTTTTGCCATCAAAGAGTCCTGGCTTGTGGAGTGCGGGACGCTAACACCTGAAAACCTGCAGTGAAATCTGGCACCACAGTGTCAGCACATCGCACAAATGCTTGATTGTACACGTCAGTCTTCCAACTAAACTTGAACCCTTTTTTCATTGGCCGGGATTATTATCCTGCTGAAAGAGGCAACGCAGTTTGCTGAGAAAGGTGTTCCTGGTTTGCAGTAGTGATTTTTTTGTTTTCTGATTGGCCAGTCTTTACAACCAGTCCTTAGTGACTTTAAGGGACAAACTGGTTGTCTCATTTGGCCACTGAAGCAACTGTACTAACACTTGCAAACACTACAGTCATTTCAGTTTTTCCAAGGAGTAAATGTCGCTACTGATAAAAGAATCTTCCTGCTCCAGAAAAAGTCTTACAGAAAAAAAATACTGGAAAAAGTCATCAAGAAAGTTAATTATTTTAACACAAATGTCACAGTTACAGCTAAAACAATACCAAGAATAAAATTTAGCATTAAGAATGCATTAAATGTTTTTACATTGTTGTAATTGCACACTGTCCGGATTAAATACAGTGATTTGAAACAGAAACAAGAATAATATGAACATTAACAAGAATAAAAGTGCATTAAACAGAAATATCTGCTTACAGGAAAGAAATCATCAGTTGTTTCAGAAAACACAGAATTTTGTTGTCTGTGTTTAAAGTTGTTTGTTTGTTTGGCTGCTCCCTCTTCACAGGTTAGCCACAGTGAATTGGATGAAAGGTTTGGCCCTTCTGAAACGGGCCCGCAGCACAACGGTCGGGCTCAGTGGTTAGCACTGTTGCCTCACAGCAAGAAGGCCCTGGGTTCAATCCCCGGTTGGACCTGGGTAGGGCTGCAACTATCGATTATTTCAATAATCGATTCATCGGCCGATTATTTTTTTGATGAATCGATGAATCGGCAAAAAACCCCCACAACGTTTTAATTTCCACCCCTTTATTCCAAAATTGAACATTTGACTGACATAGCAATTCACACAAAAAACAGGTTGCTATTTGACTATTCTGTTAGTAAAATATTGAATAAAAAAAGTAAAAGTTAGTGAAATAGTTTAAAAAACAAATGTACACAAAAATATATACAAATGTATCTTTATACCTGCACAATATGTAGCTACTTTGTAAAATGTGTTGTAGAATGAACATATACTGATATATATTCATAATTAAACGGATTCTTTCATTTTTCTGGACTGTATAATGACGTGCATCTGAATTTAATGAAATGTGACGTGAGACGTTAATTATCTTTGACTCACCAACGACAGTGGGTCATTTATTAACAGAATCAAGTTTAACACATCACACATTTACATTAATTGGCAAAAATTGAAAATAACGACAGCTTATTAATCAGTTTTACAGGAAGTAAACAATACGGCGATTGTTTTCTCACTTCCAGCAGTACAACAGACCTTAACCACACGGCGGTGGTTGAAAAACTTTGCTTCAGACATTTCTAAAAATATCTGGATTAATTTCTTAGCAGATAGAAGAGTTTAAAGATTGAAGTTTAGAGGGAGGGAGATGGTGTGCGTGTGAGTGAAAAGTGTTGGACAGAACGACACCCTCCATTCGACCCAGCTTTCCTCGGTACGCTCGGTAGTCAACTCGACTCATTACCTCTCTGACGATGAATCAGTGAAAGCGGAGCTCCAGTTACGCTACCGGTCCAGCGTCTCCGTAGGATGGCAGAGAACCGTCCGGAGTGGTGGCGGAACTTCGTCAACAACAGTTCACCTCACGAGTGGACTTCACATGAGTGGGGTCCGTCAGAGTTCCACTCAGAGGTGGAAGATGTCATAATCCCAATACTCGGAAGAGCTTTGAATCATGGCTGGACTTCTGTTCTCCCAAACGACTGGAGCTGCAAACTCTCCACCCGATTCCAACTGGGTTGAACTAGGAAGTACCAACATTTAAAGAGCTCTATTTCCGGTTCATTTGGGAGTTTCTGATTGGTCGATGGACCAAAAAAGAGGTGTGTTTTGTGATGTAAGGTGTTATGAAAAGTCAAGGAAAAAGATTAAGATTGTTTAAGAACAGACAGAAGATTGTTATGAAGAACTCAGACTTCGTGGAGTCACTTCTCTAGTACCTTGCTGTAAAAGTTAAACATGACATTTCTTTTTCAGTAAACTTGCAGTTGACCGAAACTTGAACTTTGACCAACTTACACCACTTGCTCATTTCAAACAGACGATCAAGAAATTGAATCATTACTCTGTAACATATTCCAACTTGATTTCACTTTGAATGAGGCTTAAAAATCGTTATTACTGTTTCACAGTTGATTTAAAAATGAGTAGTTCACTTCAACATTTAAACATTGTTTGAACTAACACAATTTGATTATCAAAACATTTGTAAAATGGTAATGATAATAGAAAGTAGTCTTCTTTTACTTGATTAATTCAAGAAAGAAAGTCTCAGGATGGGTCAACCTGTATTTCTGGATTCAAATAAATGAAAT